CATATACATTTTAGGCACACCTAAGAGCATTGCATACATAGCATCACATATATGCATAACTTTTTCAGGTTTTAGCTAGAGTCAATTTCAACTTTGCGGCGAAGGATATTGAACTCAAAGCGACACAATTTGCTCGAGAGTGGATTTCAACTTCACGACGAAGGATATCTAGCTCGAAGCCAAACTTCACAATAAAGGGGTCTCCACGGTTTCAACTTCACGGCGAAGGGAATTGTGTCCACCCGCAACATAAAATACTTGGATTTCAACTTAACGACAAAGGATATTCAAGTCAAGGTTCAACTTCACAACGAAGGGGCCATCCGCGATTTCAACTCCACGACGGAGGATATTGTGGCACTCGAGACAATGCAAGTTCAACTTCACAACGAAGGGACGGCTGGTTGTCAACAAACAACTTCTCAATTTCAGAGCCAATTTCAACTTCACAACGAAGGATATTGGACTCCAGACAACGCAAGTTCAACTTCACGACGAAGGGACCGCTGCTTGTCAACAACAACTTCTCAATTTCAGAGCCAATTTCAACTTCACAACGAAGGATATTGGACTTCAGACAACGCAAGTTCAACTTCACGACGAAGGGACCGCTGCTTGTCAACAACAACTTCTCAATCTCATAGCCAATTTCAACTTCACAACGAAGGATATTGGACTCCAGACAATGCAAGTTCAACTTCACGACGAAGGGACCGCTGCTTGTCAACAACAACTTCCCAATCTCAGAGCCAATTTCAACTTCACAGCGAAGGATATTGAACTCGAGACAACACAAGTTCAACTTCACAACGAAGGTACGGCTGGTTGTCAACAATAATTTCCCAGTTTCAGGGCCAATTTCAACTTCACAGCGAAGGATATTGGACCCAAGACAGCACAAGCTCAACTTCACAGCGAAGGGGCGGCTGACTGTCGACAAGCAATTTCGGAGCCAATCTCAACTTCACAGCGAAGGATATTGGACTCGAGACAACACAAGTTCAACTTCACAGTGAAGGGACGACTGGTTGTCAACAAACAATTTCCCAGTTTCAGGGCCAATTTCAACTTCACAGCGAAGGATATTGGACCCAAGACAGCACAAGCTCAACTTCACAACGAAGGGGCGGCTGACTGTCGACAAGCAATTTCGGAGCCAATCTCAACTTCACAGCGAAGGATATTGGACTCGAGACAACACAAGTTCAACTTCACAGCGAAGGGATGGCTGGTTGTCAACAAACAATTTCCCAATTCCAGAGCCGATTTCAACTCCACGACGGAGGATATCGTGCTACCCGAGACAACACAAGTTCAACTTCACAACGAAGGGACGGCTGGTTGTCAACGAACAACTTTTCAGTTTCATCCGCGATTTCAACTCCACGACGGAGGATATCGTGCCACTCGAGACAACACAAGTTCAACTTCACAACGAAGGGACGGCTGGTTGTCAACAAACATTTTTCAAATTTCAGAGCCAATTTCAACTTCGTAGCGAAGGATATTGGACTCGAGACAACACAAGTTCAACTTCACAACGAATGGACGGCTGATTGTCAATAAGATTTCGTTCAGAGTCAATTTCATCTTCACAGCGAAGGATATTAGACTCGAGACAACACAAGCTCAACTTCACAGCAAAGGGGCGACTGACTGTCAACAAACAATTTCAACTTCACAGCGGAGGATATTGGACTCGGAACAATATTTGGATTTCAACTTCATGGCGAAGGATATCCAATTCTCAGGCTCAACTTCACGACGAAGGGGCCCTGTACGATTCCAATTTCACAAACAGATTGACCCAACTTCACGACGAATGAGTCATCTGTAACGCATCAACACCGAAGTCTTCAGGTCAAGTTTCACCTTCACGACGAAGTATCTTGATCCAGAAGACGATTCAAAGGCCACTCGCCAAAAGCTTTGAGTTCGATTCCAACTTCACGACGAATGATATAGTGCTCAGAAGCTTCCAGATGAACTCGACTTCACGACGGAGGAGTCATCCGTAACTCAATTCGACAGGGAGTTATTGAAACATCAGAGTCAATTTTCAACTCCACCGAATGAAAAGTGTGTCTTTCAATCTTTGCCCTATCCCCGTTACACGACTATGGGCAAAGAGGGGCAGCTGTCAACACACCTTTTTCGTCCTACTAGGATTCAAACTCTCAAAAATAGGATAGAATTCTGCTAGGATTCAACTCCTAAAATAGGATAGAATTTTGCTATGTTTTAAACTCCTAAAGATAGGATCCACAAGCACTATAAATAGCCATTGTAGCTCACTATTGTAACACACGATTGACAGACGATTTACACACAAAACATATAGGAAAGCACGGGAAGATACAAAGGCAAAACTATTGTAAAAGATTCGAAAAAGAAATAAAAGGTAACATTTTCTTTTTTTCTTTCTTTTGAATGTGCACGTTATTTTTCTTGAGATTTAGTTCGAATAACTCAAAACGTGGGTTGCGCCGATGACCAAAATGGGTAGGGTTTCGAAGTTTCGAACCTAGATCTACCCCGAGGCTTATTTTGAAATACCGGTTTGATTTTCGGTTAAAGGAGGGGGAGAGCTTTTTAAAAATCTATATTAGTCCATTTATTTATTATATGGATATTTTATTCATTTATTTTTATTATTCATGTTATTATTATTATATGTATATATATATATTTTAGATTATTCTCATTCTTTTACTATATTTTATTATTATTATATATATATATTTCTTTAATATTCTACTTATAAATCTATTATTACTATATATTGTAATTATCTTTATCTAGTCATATTTTTTATACTTTTAATAGTTTATTTATATACCTATTATTAATATATATATATTCTTAATTATTTTTATTTGATTATTTTTTTATTTACGTAATATATCTTATAACTTTATATATATATATATATTATTTTCGTTTTTTTATTTATTATTATTATATTATTTTTTTAAAAACCTTGTGTCTTTATCATTATTATTATTAAATATTATATTATATATTACTAACTTAGAGGACCCATTTTTTTATCTTATTTCTGACTAAAGCCTCTCACTTTCGGTGAAGTGAGAGGGTAGCTTTTCTATTTTTAAATATTTGGTGTATATATATATATATATTTTTTTTCCTTTTTCAAATATTACTATATATAATTATTATTTTACTATTTTTTTCCTTTATCTTATTTATTTATTTTATTTATTTTATTTTTCCCTTTTATCTTATTTGTTTTCTTTATCTTGTTTATCTAACACATTTCTCGATTTTTTAAGGATATTTTCAAATCAATCAAGGGTAAGTAATTGGGGTCGAAACTTTACCTTTTAATTTAACTTGTTATTTTTCTTAATTAAGACAACTGGAAATTACGTAGTACCGAAAAGGCGGTTCAAGGGTGCTAATCCTTCCTTGACCGTAACCGACTCCCGAGCTCGACATATTTCTGGTAAGACGCAGATCAGGTAAGAAATAGGGTATCCGATCAACCCATTTATTTTTAAATAAATGATCGGTGGCGACTCTAATCCACATTTTTCAAGTCGAAGCCCAATTCCGGAGCTCAACCGAAAGACGGTTGCGACATATATATATATACATACATGTTAATTGCACTTAGATTGTTTTATTGTTTTTTTTAATTATTCTTTTATTTTATTCTGAATGTGCATGGTTGAAGGTTGATAAATATGTATAAATGGATTTGATATAACAATGCGTTGAAAAAAAAAATTATAAAAAAAATTAGTTATATATTATTTAAAATGTGTTCAAAATATCTAAAATTGATTTTTAAAAAGTTAAAAAGACGTCAAAATAAATTTATAAGAGTTTTTGGGATTTTATGAATTCTTAAAATCTTTTTAAAACCTGAAGTAGGATTTTGAAATCTCCTTAGAAGGTTTCGAAACCTTTGAGACAATCTCTATATGGTTTTGAAAACTCATGTTTCGAAAGCCCATATAATGTTTGAAAATATCATGTATAATGTAACGTCAAATCTTTTATCACTGCTTTCGTTGGTCGCTCAAATGATTTTAAATTTTTTATGTGATTAATAAAATGTTTAATCTAAATAATTATATCACAAATCTTTCAAGTTGTGATCTAAAGTTGAAATATATCTCTATAATAAAATTTTACTAATTAAATTATTATATTTATTAATTTATTAAATCAGATATTATAGAATGTAAACCTGACAAGAATATTATTTAAAAACACATGTATTACTGTATAACTTAAATTTGATAATAAATATTTCTTATAAAATTTATTAACATTATTTGTATTTTAAACACACGAGATCTAAACTATCATTGTATTTTAAATATGCTAAATCTCTAATATGACCGAACTGACATTCGTCTTCATTTAACAACCAAACTAAGAGAAGAACTTGATTGATTTAACGATGAAGTTTATGACCAATTCAAAATTTATACAATAATTATGGGAATTTACTGAAATTAACCCTTTTTAATTTCATCTCCACGCCAAAAGGCAATTTAACCTTGACCGTTGATTTTTTTTCAAAAGCAAATCCGTTTGGCGTCAGTGAAGCTCAAAGAGCGCCAAAATTTCGCGGTCGCTCAAAACAATTCAAAATTTCAGTGAAAAGCCCCTAAAATTCAAAAATCCCAAATGAAAATCACTCGCAGATAAAACAAAAGACAGCGCCCCCCCTCCGTTTCTCGCTGTCTTTTCTTTTGCTCTCAGATCTGGATTTCAAAATAAGCAAACAAAAGGCGCTCAGAAAGTTTCACTTCTTTTCTCCTTCTTCAATCTCAGGTACTTGAAACAATATTTAGTTTCAGTTCTCTTTCAAGTCAAAACTGTTCTTCTGTATTTTTATTATATCACCGATTTGTAATCTGGTTTTTATTTTATTGTTTGTTTAGGATTGTCCCAATTTTATGAATTGTTGATGCCCAATTAAGCTTGATATGAATCAAATTATAGTAAGAGCTTCTTTTTATAGATCTTAGAATGCAATCTAGTGAAATAACGTGAAGAAAAGAAAGGGATTATTGTTTCTGGGTCTTGAGTTTTTACCCCAAATTCCCAGTTGTCGTTCCTTTCTATAGAAATTTTTCCAATTTTTCATTACATTTGAGCGTCTGATTGAGGAAAACAGAAGAAGATGGTGAGGGAAGAAAGTGTGGAGCCATTTTACTCGAGGCTTAGGGAATCAGCTAGGGCATCTTCTCTCTCGCCTTTACTTATATTCCCGTCCACCTCCGATGTTGACTCTCTGTGTGCTCTCAAAATCATTTTCCATATTCTTGAATCTGATTCAGTCCGATACTCGTGTTATCCGGTGTCTTCTTTTCAAGAAATCAGAGAATATGCTGCATCTGAATTGAGTTCTTCCTCTGATGAGCCCGTTACTATGCTTTTGATAAACTGGGGGTGCCACCGTGATCTCCAAGAGGATCTTAAGCTAGGGTCAGCTGCGAGGGTTTTTGTCATAGATAGTCACAGGCCGATTCATTTGCATAACTTGAGTGACCAGAATGATCAGGTGGTTGTTCTTTACACTAATGATGATGAACGGTTGGCTGATCTGTCCTATGATTTTGAGGTTAAGGAGTTGGCAAATGCTAGCTATTCTTTGCATAATTCAGAGTTGGATAGTGAAGAAGATGAAGACTGCGAAAGCGAGGACGAAGATGAGGAGGAAGGGAGAGCCGAGGATGGTTCTAGGAAGAGAAGAAGATCATCTTCAGAAGGTGAAGAACCAGTGTCGCGGCGTTTTAAGAAACTGAAAAGGGATTATTATCGGATGGGAACTTTCCATGGAAAGCCATCAGGGTGTTTGATGTATGATTTGTCACATTCTTTGAGGAAAAACACGAATGAGTTGCTTTGGCTGGCTTGTGTTTCACTTACTGATCAGTTTGTTCATGAGAGGCTAACAGATGAGAGGTATGAAGCTGGGGTTATGGAGCTTCAGCAGCATATTAACAGTTTAGGGAATCTCGATGCCGTTACTTCGGTGACTCTTAAAGATGGTACCAAGGTTCGAGCACCTGATTCCTCAAGAATTGCTTATGAAGATGAACCAAGACTTATGTTGTTAAGAGAGTGGAATTTATTTGATTCAATGCTGTGCTCGTCATACATTGCCCCTAAGTTGAAGACCTGGAGTGATAATGGTATGAAGAAGCTTAAGCTTCTGCTTGCAAGGATGGGATTTGCACTTGTAGATTGCCAGCAGAAGTTCCAGTACATGAATCATGAAGTAAAACAGAAGATGAAAGATCAATTTGAACAAATTTTGCCCGAATACGGACTTAATGATTTCTACTACAAAAGTTTTTTGCGTCTACATGGTTATACTTCAAGGGTTTCAGCAGCAGATATGGTATATGGGGTTACTGCACTGCTTGAATCGTTCATGCAATCAGATGGCACGTGTGCTTTGATGCAGTTTGGGGTGGCATACGATGCACTGTCCCTAAGTAATCTTGATAAGCTGAAATCTGGAATGCAACAAGCAATCAAGATACAAAGAGCTATTCTTAGGCAAGGAAGTGCTTCAATAACAAAGAGTGGGTGCATCAGGAGTGGGAGAAAGTTTAGGTGGGTGAAGCTTGAAGATTCAGTAGACACAAAACTGTTGGGTCACCCCCAGGCTCTGACTAAGTTCTGCTACTTTTTAATGGATGCCTTGAAGGAGAAGGGTGCAAAGCTGAAACCTTTGCTTTGTGCCTGCATATTGCAGGAGCCATCCAAGGTGTTGATTGTTGGGGTCTGTGGGAAGCCTCGTCTCGGAGCGCTTAAAGGGAATGCGTTCGGTCTTGCATTCAGGAACGCGGCTGAGGAAACTGGAGCTGAATTCTTCCACGAACTATTCGAGTCTTCTTGGATTGTGCTGGATGCAGGCGTTGTTAATTCCTTCATGGTCAAACTAACTGAGAAGCTTTGATGTAAAGCCTTCAACATTAGGGCAATTGTAACTTGGCTTTGTTAAATTGGAAACATTTGTTCTTTTTTTAAGCAAATTTTTAGCTTGTTTGGAATTTTTCATAAATAAAATTCCAGTTTATGATCAGCAGATATTTTAATATTTTTTTTCTCGGGTGTTAAGTTTCATCCTCAACTTTCGGTTCAATCATATTACTTCCCTTTCTCTAGGTAAAATAACGAAACCAACTTATAAGCAAACACAAGTTCTACAAGAAACAAATTAATGAACAAAACTGAAACACAGAGAATTGTCATCCATCTAATTGGTGGGCATCTCAAACCGACAAATAGGGCAATAATGGCTCTGCTTCAACCATCTTTCGATGCAACCGCAGTGAAAGAGATGAGAACATGGCATCTGAGATGCTTCAAATCCAACGCTGAGTTCCTCTAAGCACACCATGCACTCTTCTTTCTCCCCATCTTCTACTTTGACCCTCTTTACCATCTTTTTAACAGATGACTCTGTCGCTCCTGCCATTCCATAGTTATTGTTTTCAAGTTCCCTCCTCGATTCCGCCAAAGCTCTGCTCATCAAGGTCTCCTCGTCGGTCATGGGTTCCAGTCCCACAAGCATATCGGAAAGTAATTGCAAGGCTTGGAAGGAATATCCCCGGTCCAATATTCTACGAACAGTTCGAAACCCACATTGGATTATATCTTGAAGGACACCTTCATAAGCAGCGGAGGAAGTGTCGACTCTGAGCTCTGCAAGCTTTGGAGCAAGAACCTCGTTAAGGCGGCGGGGGCTTTGCAGAAGGTTCAGACGGAAACAAAGAGTTCGTTGGGAGAAGAAAGGGTCGGCGGAGGCGGTGGTGATGTAGCGGACATTAACGGTTAACACAATGTAGATTGAAGCCGGAGGTATTTGACGGTGGTGGGGTATGATTTGCAGAGGGTGAGAATGATGCCATACAACCTTGTACTCCATTGATTAACGTTTGAAACGAAACTTGAGCCTGAGGTTAAAGCTAAACTCTGCTTGTGTAGTATTTTATAGAGCACACGCAATGGCGGCGCAAAATAATCGGACTTTTCCGTTGTTTATGTCAGAGGGCAATTTTTTTAATTAATGCGTTGAAAATAAAATTGACCATATAGAATGTATGTAATATTATATTTTAAAATAAAATATTTGTTCTAGTAATTATTAAAAGTTGTCAAGAATTTTTCCCTAAAACTCCGGTTTGCTCCATCTTTTTATTACTTATATTTATATTTATATCATATTTACCTTCAATCAATATTATTTTTATATTGATATTGTTTTTGTTTCTTCAATTTCAAGTCCTAATTAGAATAGAAATTCGTATGATATCAATTTAGGGTATATGATTTTTGATTTTAAAAAGGTGTTATTTCGATAGAATGATACTCATTTCAACCAATTTCATTCAATTCAATGATTGATCAAAAGAAAGTTTTATTTTAATAAATAAATAATAGAATAAATTGCATGAGCTTAGCTCAATCAAGTAATGGTATTTATTTTTTTATTTTTATGCAATGATTTGGTCTAATAAATTCGTCCATTTAGATTGTATCAATGTGACATAATGATAAATAAAAGGAAGAGACAAATTTACAATAAAATAATATTAAAAAAATAATTAGAAAAAAATAAAATAAAATAAAGGGGATAGAATTAGGTATATGGAATCTAATGGCTATAAGACAACTCGTCTATCATTTGAGGAGTAATTCTAGAATCTAATTGAATCTAAAATATGAAAGATTGTGTTATGTAAGAAACAATGTGTATGGGATATTAGATATTGACAAGTTATATACGAACTCAAAATAAATATAATCCAGCCCATTACTGTGGAGTTATATAGAGATTCCAATAGAAGAATATAAGTTCTTCTGTTTTTTCTTTAACTCTGAATTAAATGAATAAAGAGATAAAATAAAGATAAAAACGAAGAATTCAAAGTAAGGAATGGGTTGGAAAAAGAAAACAAATGGAAGAATAAAGTATGGCGGATTCACAAAAATCCAATGGATAGGAATTAAAAAAAAGATATTTAGAAATCATTTGAAGTATATGTCGTTTATTGTAGACTTCTTACATGCACAATGTCAAAAATAATTGGTGGCGTTCTAAAAGCGTTAGATAATTCATACGTTTTTTAAAAATTATTGTGTGGTCTAATTAACTTTAACAAAAACTCTACTTGAAAAAAATATTTTTTTATCATATGCATGAACAATTTTTCTTTTCAACACATCATTAGAGCAGTTTTACTACGTCAGAAACTTTAATTATATCAATCATATATATCTTTTAGAAGCATCAAAAATATATAAATTAATTATTTTAAAATAAAAAATTATATAAAAAATATTAAAAATATATTCAAATATTTTAAATAAATGATATATATAAACCAACATAATTGCGGCTGATAAAAGTTCATTGATACATTGACATTATCATAGTTCAATCACATTTATCTTTTATACTTGTGAGTATTTATCAATACACAATCTGAGGATTAAAATAGAGATAAATCAGTATGATGATTAAATAAACGTCATTTAAATATGGAGAAGCAACATCAAATCCAATTTTAAGAAGAAAAAAGAAGAAGAAATATGTACTACAAGAGCAGATAAAGAATATGTTATAAAATAAACAAAATCATCTATTATTTTTATACGAAAAGTGGAAGATTAATTAGAAAAAAAATATAATCAGATTATAGAAAGAGAAAGTAAAAGAAAAAATTATCAGACAATCAGCTTAAAAGTAATGTCGCTATCCATAGTAAAAAAAATTTATCAATGATCGATGATGAATTTAACAGTTATGTTTAAATGTGTATTATTAATAACGATAGACTAGATGTTGGTCGTCGATGTAGCCTTGTGCTTCAAATATGGAATGCCACTGACAAAGACTGACTTTGTTGTGAGAATCTAACATGGCGGATCATTCTTTGGTTGGATCGGGGAAGGTGTCTCCTTGTGGCTTTCACTTGCTCCTGAGGCACCGAGGGAATTGCATGAAATTTTGGAGCTGGATGGTCCTGGCAGTGTGCATGGAAGCCAACGTGTGGTTTAGTGATGGTTGTCGTCAATTCTTCATTCTATTATAAACAAATATCATCTTATAAGATTATAAACAAATATCATGAAACATACACTTGATTCAGTTACATGAAAGGGAAATTCACTTTGGGCCTGCAAATTACATTTCCATGCACGTGGTCATGGATGGAGAAAATTACAACACATATAGGCAGTTGATCCTTCAGTTCGATTAGCTACGGAAACAATTGAGTTAAGAAATTGCTTACCATGTAAGCTAGCTTCAGAGATCTTCGACATCCTCTCGAAAGTTCATCCTTTTTAACAGATTTAACAGGCAAGGAATTCTGCATTTTTTGTTGCAAAATATTGAAAAATAGTGTTGTAGTATTACAATCTAAAAAAAATTCGTTTCAATAATAAAGTTAAAAAAATGTGAAATTAAAATAGAAACTGTAATCGGATGAAATTGAATATGTAGAAGAAGAGTTTTGTTGAGGCCTGAATGAACAGTTTTCTTAAGACAGATTCGTCCTCTCCTCGGTGCTTTGAGTAACGTTGGACGTCGGTCTCCCAGGATTCAACAACAAACGTTCACAACAGTAAGCATAACCGTAGTGAACAATCGAACACAATCTTTGTCTTTATCTATCACCGGAAAATGACTTTTGAAGAATCGGAGAATTGAAAGGAAAGTACTTGAAAGAAAATAGTAAAAGTTGTGTGTTGAAATGTGTCACAACTTAGCCTTTATATAGGGAGAGTATTGAAAGGTTAAGACCTTTATTGAAAGGTTAAGACCTTTAAATGAAATGATTTAATCATTTGATTAGAAATCATAACCTTTTAATCAAAAGGTTATCATGGAAAGACATGACCTTTAGAGTGAAATGAAATAACTATTTTCATGAAAAGACTTAATTATTTTTCATTAATAGTCATGATTCAATCAATTCATTTATATTTTTCCTACAATCCCCCACATGAATGAATTTCATTGTTTAAAGCATTGACTCGATGTGGTGATAGATTCTACGTTCGATATTTGCATAGGATAGGTAGGCGTCCCCCTTTGAACCTTCCCTTGTGAAAATATGTTTACCTTACTGGCTGTCCAGTAGACGTGATGTCCTTGAACTGTCCTATCGTTTGTGTAAGCGATGACATACCTCACACAAATATCTTACTGACAAGAGTTTGGTTCTCATGGTTATGTCTATATAGCCGTGGACATCTCCTGGTTCTGTAAGAGCTTAGAGAACTATGCCCCAATAGTCTCTTTGAAGCGGCTCCACTTCACTCTCACATAGGTGACTTATGTTGTTCAGTTCAACGAAACACATATTGGTCATTAAAAGCATTGCTTAACCTTATCCACATTTTAGTCACTGTTTTAATCATAGGAATGGGCTTGGGGATAAAACCCCCACAGTGACCTCACCGGTCTATGCAAGTAGGTTGTCCCATTGAACCTAGATCTTGGGATCTCCAGTCAACTAGGTTGGGCTTTCCTTCATATAGAGCCTTAACAATTCATGGGCTTTACTCTCATTCCTCTTGATGTTTTATCAACTTGATCTCGATTCAACCCTTTGGTTAGCGGATCCACAATGTTATCTTTTGATCTTACAAAATCAATAGAAATAACTCCAGTTGATATCAGTTGTCTAATGGTATTGTGTCGACGTCACATGTGTCTTAACTTACCATTATACATTACATTTTGTGCTCTACCAATTGTTGCTTGGTTATCACAATATATACATATTTTGGGTATAGGCTTTGGCCATTCAGGAATATCCTCCAAAAAATTTCGTAACCATTCTGCCACTTCTCCAGTTTTGTCCAAGGCTACAAACTCAGATTCCATCGTGGATCTGGTTATAATTGTTTGTCTTGAGGATTTCCATGACACAACTCCTCCTCCCAATGTGAAAATATAACCACTTGTGCCTTTGGTATCTTGAATATCAGATATCCAACTGGCATCAGAGAATCCTTCTAACACAGCAGGATCTCTAGAATAATGCAATCCATAGTTTCGAGTATATCTGAGATATCTCAATACCCTTATAATTGCTTTCCAGTATTTCTCCCCTGGATTGCTTGTAAATATGCTTAAACTGCTTACAGTGAAAGCAATATCAGGTCTAGTGCAACTCATAAGGTACATTAGACTGCCTATGATCCTTGCATATTCCATTTGATTAACACTTTTACCTTTATTTTTAGATAGATGTTGACTTGTATCTATCGGAGTTTTGGCTACACCAGAATCATCCTTGCCAAAATTTTCAAGAATCTTGTCTACATAGTATGACTGAGTCAATATGAGATCTTCAGATGACCTTTTGATTTGGATGCCCAAAATCATGTCAGCAAGTCCCATTTATTTCATGTCAAATTTTGAATTTAACATATTTTTGGTACGTTTTATCATTTCATTGTTATTTCCAATAATGAGAATGTCGTCAACATAGAGGCATATGATTACATATCCATCATTAGTGATTTTGACATACACACATTTGTCACACTCATTTATTTTAAATCCATTTGATATCATAACACTATCAAATTTTTCATGTCATTGCTTTGGTGCTTGCTTAAGTCCATATAATGACTTTACCAACTTACATACTTTCTTTTCTTGTCCTGGAGCTACATAACCCTCAGGTTGTTCCATGTAAATTTCCTCATCAAGGTCTCCATTAAGAAAAGTTGTCTTAACATCCATTTGATGTACTTTTAATTTTCGTAAAGCGGCAATTACAAGTATCATTCTTATAGAAGTTATTCTTGATACGGGTGAATATGTATCAAAGTAATCAAGACCTTCCTTTTGTCGGTACCCTTTAATAACCAATCTGGCCTTGTACTTATCAATTGTTCCATCTA